TAGCAATGTATGCAACACTTTCTTGGATTCTTTGACTTTGACTTGAAACTGATTGCAATATGAAATCCCAGTATCCAAACAAAATCGAAATGTGTAATCGGTAATCACCCAGTCACATCCCAAATCATTAACTGCGTTTTGGAAAACAGAATGTCTAGTAAAGTTTCGCTGCGTTTTTCGGGAATAGCTCACTTTTAGCGAAGTACTCATTCATTCGTCAAGAGGTCTACTACACCTTTTCCCGACCAATGAGAGTACGGTTTCCAAGGAAAGTGAATATGATACAGACTATAAGTTTTGACAAGTTCATACGTATGACACATCAACTTCTATCCAATGTGAATTGGCTTCCAACCAAAATGAATTATATCCATTCAATTTGGCGCGAGGTATAGGCGCGAATGTTAAACACAAAATGAAGCATTGTGTACTTCCAATTTTTCACGGATGCCCTCACCTCCATCCCGCAAGTCACCAACACCAGAGGAAAAGAAGCGTGTACTTGACGCGAACACCAGCGGCGACCCCGATTGGAAGACCATAGCAACTCACAATGGCATCTCCAAGTCAACTGCCTGGCGCATCACCAACTCTAATCGCATCACCACGCTACCCCGCGGAGGACAACGCGACCGGTGCACGAAAGTAACTCCAGCAATCCGAGCTGCGTTAGAAGGGTATGTCAATGAAAATTGTGTATATACATAGATAGGACAAGTGAAGGAGTTCATTGCCTTCGACTTTGCTGGGACCAACATATCGCTTCAAACCATCAGCCGCCACCTCATCGGCATGCTGTACACCAAGCTGTGACGAGTTCACCATCCTGGCAAGAAAACTTTCAAGGCAAGAAGGTTGTGATCGTTTTGGACAACGTACCTGCTCATTCGCAGACCGAGACTCGAGCGATACCACATGACGACATGGTGCTGCTTCGGCTTGGCCCGTACTCCCCGATGCTCAATCCTATCGAGTCCTGTTTCAGCGTCTTGAAGGCTGCGATCAAGCGTTACTTGGCCCTGCGGACCGAAGACATGTTTGATCAGCGAGACTTTGACACGTACCTCGAGGCCCGCATGAGTCTCTTGGAGGACGCCGCCAGGAATTCGCTTGGTTGTATTACCCAACCTTTGATGATTCGTGAGGCATTGTTTTGCCAGCGCAATGTGATGAAAGCTCTTCACCTTGAAGATATGCAGTAGGGCAAGTAATTCAGGGTTTCACTTTGGTTGGAAATCCTTTTGCTTTGAATGGAAAATTTCGTGTCCGAAAACTTTTCAATCTTAAATAATAGCTCACATCAAAATCTATTTCACATTGCTTGGAAACCGTACTCACATTGGTCGGGAAAAGGTGTACTAAAACAATTTACTGCCACAGAGGCGTCGGGGACGGAACCTTTCATGTGGCCCATTCAAGCGGCCAGTGTCGACTCCTTGACCCTACCGACTAGATCAGCTTTGTCCAGGCAGGGGGATCATAGGGGTGTGCGTGAATAATGCCTTTGGGCATGGCGCAAGCTTTTGGTATCCCTGCGTCACGAGCTTCGTCCAACTTTGCACCCCCAAAAGACCATCATGAGCCGAGACGTGATCCCTTGGTCATTGGGGCACGGTCCCCAACCGCGTCAACAAGCATGCTCCAGGATAAACAGCCCCACCAAGCTTCGTACGACCAGAATGATCTCGCTTCAAATATGTCTCGACGATGCGGATGATTGTGATCGGGATGATTGATGTGATGAAGGCAAAGCACCACCATGTATTTGTAGGAGATGTCGAGTTCG